ATGTATCTGGGGATCAGTTTTATATTACACCTTTATTACCCATTGAATCTAACTTTCAATAATTCGTTAAGTGTTAAGAAAAATTTTAAATAAACTTAGACTTTACTCAGTTAATTTTCATTTTTCCGAACCGCCTGTTGATAATTTATATTCCATTGTTAAAAAAAATATTCTCCTCTACATAGCGTAGGTACTTTCTTAAATTTTTGATGACACAACATTTAATCATAAATATAATACTAGGTGTAGGTAAAGGAAAATCAAAATACTTTTGGCAAATGTAGACCAATTATTAATTAATGCAGGTATAACAATTTGTAAATCATTAGAGGTAAATATTTCAAATTTTAAATATAATAATTGTTTTAAGAAGCTTGTCAAAACCTTAGATTTATATAATCATAAAGTGCCTAAAAAAATATTTAGATATTAATTTCTGTTGTTGCTATTAATATTATTATTAATTGTATTAATTATATTTTATATTATCTTTGTTTTATATTATTTTAGTTAAAAAAATTAACTGCATTATAAGAAACTCTTTCATAGTCTCGTTATTTCGGCACATGCTTTGCAAAGTTGCATTTTAAATGAGTATCATCATTTAATTTAACTATAAATTTTATTTGTGATCTTGTTTTAATTTTGATATCAATAAATTAATATTAATTTATAGGTTTAAAATAATTAATTAATCCATATTATACCTACCTCTGCTGGTGTCTCTCAAATCAAATGCAATCAGCTCAGCTGTAGTAGGACACAACAGGCTTAACAACAGGCTTAACTACACGTCTAAACCACTGAATTATGCATTTTACAAGATAATTTTTTCTAACAAATGTTCACACGAGAATAAATCTATATTTTATACGAAAAGTACAAAAATAAAATATTTTTAATATAATCGGAAGCAGACACGACGTGGCTTGTGGTATGACATATTATACTGCATTACTGCGTATTGTAAACCGCGATTGGACTACGGATTTGACAGCAGAGAAAAAAACATTTGCGCCAAGATAAATACGAAAGACGTATCGACAATACGAGCGACGATAATTTATTTACGTACCTAGGTATAGAACGTACATGACAATTATTATTTACATTTTTAAAAAAATGTTATCGTTATTTGTAATGTACTCTGTCATAGGTATTTATGTATTTTATTTTTAAACCATAAACATTTTATTACATTATGTTCAAAGACCATAATATGAAAAATTATAAAATATAGGTATGTAAGAAATATGTAGGTAGGTACAACTTTACTGGGTGATTGCCATTTAACGCGAGCCACTCATTATGCCAGAAGACACTAACGTTTTTGAAAATATTTCTTTTACATACTTTAAAGTCGTTACAAAACAACATTCTTGGAAAACAATTATATTTTACATTATTTTATTACTGGTTTTTTAAGTGTTTTATTTTTTTGAACGACAGCATACATATTTAATGTCATATTCTAAAGTCGAAAATAATTAGGAGCACCAGCTATTTCAATTTTTCAAAAATCTAATTTCTGACAATTCGTTTATAAATTATTAGCTATAAATTATAATATTATAATAGGTTTATATTATTATCATAAAGGCGATAATTATATTATTTGGCTTAAATTTTTTATCAGACAATCTATACAGGATGATCCATTTAAATACCTAATAGCTGTACTCAATATCTATTTTTTTTTATAAAGTTTAAATTACTTTTTTAAAACACCACTTTCAGCCATTTTACTATTAGGGTAGTGTTAGGTTTTTTTTTCAAATAGCTATTTTTTAAATTAAATTTGAATAAACAGCATACATTTTAAATATGATCACCTATTTTTAAATATTTATCATTGATGAATAGATTATAATTAATAAACATAATTGATAAAACCTATTAATATTATGATTGATATGAATATCAATGTTACGAGTATGTTGTATTATTTAGTTAAAATCAATTCTCTAATTTTTACTATCTTACTATACTTAATTATTTTAAGTTTAAATAGAAGCAGATGAGAGTAAAAAAGCGGATAATTGGGTGACACTCTGTTGTACATTAGGTTACAAGTTGGTCACTGTAATGAATGGTGTTAAATTGGAATTCAATGATATAAAATCACTGTATACGAAAAACGATTCTGAGCAGCGGAGACGATTATCAGCCTAGAATATTTTATATTATATTTATATTGTATTATTATTAATACGATAGTTGGTTAAATTGAATTATTATAATATTTTGTTTATTATCATATTTGTATATAATAATATAGACGTTTCTAGTCCTCACAGATAATACTTTTTTTTAAATATAACACAAAATTAAAATCGTTCTTCTTTTTTTAAATATCTAATTTATAAATAAATTAAACAATAACATTTTTATGACATTTTTTTTTTTTTTTGTAAATATGACTTTATTTTGAAATATTACAATCTATACAGGGGTGTACAATAAGTAATAATTATGGTGAAAACAATGAAAAACTATGAACTAACGATGACATGGTAGGAAATCTCTCATTAGAGACACCTAGTGGCTTTACAAATTTTTATGACATTTATAGGAAAAAAAAAAAAAAAAAACACTACAAAAATTGAAAATTGAAAATGTTCGTAAACAGCCCAAAACTAGTCAAAATATTTTGAAAGTAAACATAGGGTGTAAATTTGAAGTGTCGACGGTTATTCGTTATTGAGTTACAACAAAATAAGAAAATCGCTACATGAGAAATCAAGTGAATATCCTGCAACGTTGTAAAAATGTGAACTTCAAACGCTCATAAATATATAATTTGACTTTCCGGTAGACATGTTTTTGATTAAGGTAGACAAACTCATGAGGAACCAATGCATTTTTAATATTTTTCAACTGGCATTTTTACAATGTATTATATATAGGAGACTTGTATTACATTTTGAATCTTTTTGACCCAATGAATAAAATTTTATTGACATTTATAGAAAAAGAATCTGAAAAAATTGGAAACTGTATATGTCCATAAACAGCTCAAAACATATTAAAATATAATAAATGTTAAATTAAGATTACATTATATGTATTTAATTATTTTACTTTAAATGTAGTTACTAATAAATAATTTTCCTATGGGCCTGTGTTTGCTAAATATAATAATATTATACTTAACATTATAATGAAAATAATTTGCAGAATAGGCGTCAGTATAGGCAATTTTATATACGGATCCTAAAAATTTTTTTCTGCAAAGATCCATTTGTGCAGTTTTAGGGTTCTGATACCCAACACCGTGTTCACGATACTAAAATATACATATTATAACTGTATAAGTGTATCTTTGTTCGTGCTGTGTATTTATTAATTTCAAACATACCATTTGTATATTGTGTAGAGCGATATATCAGGAATAGTTTTTAATATATTTATTAATAAATATAATAATAATAATAATAATAGTAATAATAAACTTTAAACAATAATTTTATAAATAATTATTTATAATAGCCAATAGGTAATGAATTAAACTTTGAACATACATTACTATAATATTAACATGTATACTTTGCTGTGTGTGTTCGATTAATAGTACTAAGCAATTTTGATTACAGTTAATTTAGAACTTCCGTAGAAAAGAGATTTTGCAAATAATTTTGTGTGAAGCATACTTGGACATAAAATAAAATACAAGGACGATTTCTTTTTCAATCATTGGTTTAACGTCGATACCAGATTCCAATGTCACATGATAAGAAGCATGAAGCAATGAAAGAGGGATACTCTTTGGTATTTTAACTTTTAAGTAAATTACCAACCAATTTATGCTAAAAGTCATCAGAAAGGTAACATAACATTATTCGTAAACCCATCGAATCCTTTATATTTTTCTATTACAATATCATATTATTATTAGGTACTCATTAGTTAAAAGTCTGAATAGTCATATCCCTCATATTCTTACGAAAGTCGGCAGCTATGTGCAGGCACGGATATAGAGCAAAGATCTGGGGGGGGAGGGGCAACACAGTTTTTTTACACACAAATACAATTAATATAATAAAATATTATACTTCATTCTTAATTTTAAAATGTTGTCATAATAGTAGATATAGGTAATCAATGTGATAAATAAATTATTGATTATTTAATATATAAAGGGACAATGTGAAAAGAAGTTTAGATTTTTTTTATTTGTTATTTAATATTATATAGTATTTACTATTTATATTTATAAAAAAATATATCTGGGGGGGGGGGGCTAGGCCCCTAGCGCCTCCCTGAATCCGTCCCTGGCTATGTGTGCATGGTAATGCAAAATAACTGAATGACGGACATTATTAATAGTTTAATTTGATTTTGATATTCCTCTTATTTGAATGGCACCATCCCCACAATGTACAATATTTAGACATAATATTATATATTGTATATATTTTTTTTTAATATGGTTTGTGGAAAAACATTAAAGAATAATGGAACGTCAGGTCGAACACAAGCATGGATCTAGAGCAAAGATCTGAGGGGGGGGGGGCAATAATTTTTTTACAACACAAATACAATCACATAATATTATATACTTTATTCTTAATTTACAATTTTTCCCAATATTAGTATAATCTTATTGTAATAAATCAATTAATGATGATATATATTAAAATCCTAATGTCGTTTTGTTGGAAAATCCATTGAGTAGGTACTTGTTTTTTTAAAAAAAATCAAAACCGAAAAAAAATAATAATGTATATTATAGATGCAAAACTTAAAAATCGACATATTTAAAATACCTTCAAAACATACAAAATGTCGTTTACAAGATAACTTAAAAGCCTGGAACAATTTTTTTGATATAATGAAATTTTGATTTTAAATCATTATTTTTTAAAAAATGTATCTGATTTTTATCTAGGTAAATTATGGTTATATTTTATCTATTAAATAGATATTTTTGATTGAGTTAATTTTTATCTTTATCTAAATAAACTTTTGGTCTATTATCTTTATATCTTTTAACAAATTAACTATTTGAATACGAGAGTCTCATAGATGTTAGATTTAGTGGCGGTCCGTGTTCGTGTATCGTCAGTAGCAGTCCCAACCAATTTACCAGTATGTTGAGACTCAGGTTGAGCAGCATCAATCCGATTGCTTTTGTCAGCAGCAGCCAAATCCAATTTAAGCAACGAATCTATAATTCGTTGATCACGTGCAATATCAAGATAGTTATCAGCTTTACTCTCAAAACAATCAGTTTTAGTATTCTGTTGGAAATTTATACTTTGAGCAGTATTAATTAAAACTATGATTGTTAGTGTGATTATGATCGCCTTGTTCGCCATCGTGAAAACCAATTAATTAAGAGAGTTAGGAGGTATTCGTGGTAAGCTAAACAAAATAAGAAAAATTAATAACAATTTAAACAATTCCGAATAATTCAATAAATAAGTGTATTATCACAAAATATCATTTTATGTAATAATACCAAAATAAAATTAATAACGTTCCAATTTTATTATAATATAATTACCGACTATTACCATACAGTTAATCTATACGATGGATTACATTAGTTTTAAAGCAGTGAAAATGTATAAACTAGGATTTTAGATTCTGAGTGGAACGATGAATGTATTGATTTTACAATGATGTATGTTTTTATTTTTTTTTTCCTTTTTTTATTTTTTTGTGTCTGTCATCACGTTTTAGGACAGTAAAAGTGCTTGGATTTTCTTCCACAGTAGCTTTTCTGATAGGAAAGTGAATCTAGTTGGTACTTTGGGGGGTCAAAAGTAAAAATTTCTCAGTAGTTTTCACAAGCGCCGGAAAAACAACAAAAAAATTAAGGAAAAACGGGAAAATTGGGTTTCCAAAAAATAGATTTTGGTTTTTGGTGTAACTCTAAAACAAATGAACGTATATACATGACATTTTCACTGGTTGTTTATATTTGCATTTTCTATACACGATAACATTTTCAAAATATTTTGATTTATTTTGAACTGTTTAGGGACATTTTCATTTTCCATTTTTTTTTAGTTTTTTTTCTAAAAATATCAATAAAATTTTATTTGTTGGTTAAAAAAGCTTGAAAATGTAATAGAAGGCTCCTACTATACAGTGGCGGATCTATGGGGGGGGCGACGTGGCGATCACCCCCCCCCCCCCCCCCCCCCTTGGGCTTTTTTTTTATTACAGATTTATTTAATATTTTCGATTTATAGATTTACACATTACACAATACATTTTTATAAATTAATAATTATAATTATAATTATAATTTTTTTTTCTCTTTATGTTTCATGATAACAATGATAACAACGTTATCAGACAATGACAATTATCTGTGATAGTGTGATTATTTTTCTCACTTTTATGATTATAATATTAAATATTTGTAATTAGTAAATCCTATTTGGTACTGTTTGGTGATTTTTATGAATATTGAATATTTCGGTTTTGTTTTAATTTGTTAAATTCATCGATCAGCATGTAAATGCTTTTTCTTGGTGGGGGGAGGGGTTGAAAAAATGTATACTGATACTTTTATAGTATACGGATTATACAATTTGATCCGGATTGATATACGGATTTCTGGGGGTGGTGACCCCCTCCACCCACCAGGTTTGACCATACTCATCGTACTTGTATATTACTCATGGATATTCCTATTCGAAATTCGCCCCCCCTTTAACCAAGCTTCAGATCCGCCCCTGCTACTATATTATTACAATGACATTTGAAAAAAATTAAAAATCCTTTGTCACAGTTTTTTTTTATAAGCATATAAAGTTCAAAAATTGACAAAATATGGAAAAATCACGAAAATTAGCAAATTATTTTGAGTTAAGAATTCGTAAAAATTTTTCTTTTCAATTCTAAGATTTGAAAATGTAATACAAGAGTCCTTATGAGATTATCTACCTTTATCAAACAAAAAATGTCTATAAGAAAGTCAAATTAAATTTTTATGAGCGTTTGAAATTCAAATTTTAACAACATTGGATATTCACTCGATTTCTCATGTAGCGATTTCCTTATTTTGTTGCAATTCAAAATCGAACTGTAGATACATGCAAATTTCACTGAATGTTTAAATTAGCATTTTCTATACACCATAAAATTTTGAAAATATTTTGACTCTTTTTGAGCTGTTTACGGACATTTTCAGTTTTCAATTTTTTTACCTTTTTTTTCTATAAATATCAATAAAGTTTTATCTGTTGGGCCAAAAAGTGTAAAAATTTAATACAAGGCTCCTGATATATTGTTACAATATCAGTTGAAAAAAATTTAAAATACATATGCACAATTTTTTTTTATAAGCATTTAAAGATCGAATTTTGACAAAATTTATCAAAATCTCGAAAATTATCAATCATTGTTATTAATAAATTATAAAATGTTCAGTTTTTATAGCTAAGGATTGCAAATTTAAAACAAAGGTTCACATAAATAGGTCATACTGTAACCAAAAAATCTAAAAAATATATGAACACAGTTATTTTTTACAGACATTTTAAATTCAAATTTCGACGAAATTACATATTAAAAAACCTAGAATAACTGTTTTAGTTATTTTGTTGTGAATGAATAATATTATTCGTGGGTACTTGAAACTTCTAAAGTGTACTATTATATATCTATGATAGTATCACGGTTTTTGTTAATGTATAACGCGTTATAAGTACCTAATGGATATTGTGATATGGTTAATTTGGAATTTATTATAGGTACCTATTATAGGTCAATTTTTTGTTTTATATCATAGATATGTATATAATATGTCTTATACCTAGACTGACATACCATCTTCGCTCAGAATCGTTTTTCTTATACAATGATATTATATCGTTGAATTCAAATTTGATATCATCCATTATACAGTAACCCACTTGTAACCTACTGTACAGCAGAGTGACACCCACTTGCCCACCTTTTTAATATTTAACATTAAATAACGTCCAAAGTTTAAGGATTGATTAAATATAAGAGTGAAAATTCACTCGTTCCAAATTACAATTTGGAATTTGATGGTAGTTAGTTATATTTAATTTTATAATTAAATAATAAATAAATAAATAACTGTTATTATATTATTTATATAAATGTGTGTGTAGGTAAAACTAGTATAATTAATACGATTGTAAAACGTACCTACTCTGGTAGGTTACGTGACCTAGATAAATGCAATCGCATTATAAACATTCACAATTATTGTTTTGACTTTGAACTTGTAATTGTTTAAATCTGAATCGTTCGGAATTATTTATTTCGGAAATTTGTTAACACACAATTCTTTTATTATAATTTTTTCTTTCATTAATCCTTTGTCCACGTTTTATTAGTTGCTTAATTAATAATATAATAAAATATAACATAATGTTTAATAAATATTATGAAATTAATCTGAAATTTTCATTATGAGCATTTTATATTTTGACTTTTTTTTCGTATTTTATTTTATTCAAATCATTTTTACTTTTGTACCTTGACTCTTCCGAAAAATTTAACTTAGTAATGACAAAATTTATTTACATTATTTATTACATGACCACAGTTAACGTCTTTAGTTATTTTTTGTTTATTAAGAGGAAAATATTAGCACTATTTTAGTTTTTTCTCAGAATAATGCTGAACTTAGATAAAACACTTTCCCATAAAATCGTTTTTTTACGATTTTTAATAAATCTTAGAGAAAAATCACCTATTGCATAAATTACAGAAGATAATATTTTTGAGGCCGTGGCATATTATATTTTGTAAATTGTATTGTTATTTGACTAATGCCCGGTTGCACAAACGATCGATAAAAAGAGTACGATAAGCTGCGATAACGGTTCAATAAACAATCGGATAAATAACTCTATTGGTTCCCTAAAGTGCTGGACTGTTGCACAAACAATTATTTAAAATTGTATGGTACTACACTAACCAAGGTTTTGATACCATGATTTTTACTGTTATCCGTGTTAATTGTTATCATTTTTATATTTATACACCATCATATCAGGCCAATAAAGTTATAGAACTCTTTTGAATATTTATCGAACCGAAATCGGGTCTACAACATATCGAACCAATAACGCAATATTTATTGGATTGATAAAACTTATTGGTCCTTTGTGCAACAGTCCAAATTTTTATCGATTTGATAACCTAGTTATTGGTTCGATAACCAGTTATTGGTCGTTTGTGCAACCGGGCATTAGTATTCAAATTTCAAAGTAAAAAATAAAAACGTAAATTTAAATGATGTTTAAATATTGTTTTGAGACAATATTTAAACAAACCGATACTTAATATCCTTTTTTTTCTTTTATTTTTTATAATAATTATACAATCTATACTTTATAGCATAATAAGTATAAGTGACAAGTGACAAACAAAACATGATAAGCGTGATTAAGAAGCCACCCACTAGTGACTCTTTGCGTGATGGGAACTTAATATCCTAAAATAAATTATTCTCATTCGTTATTGCAATACCTGAGTTTACTCTATAATTGATCAATAACATAAAAAAAACTATTCTTCTTAAATGCGTTTTGTCTATGTTGCACGTAGGACCATAGAAATTTTATTGATATTAATTTTAAAAAAAACTAATAATAATAATAATAATCAAACATTTCGTATGCCCCTAAATAGCTCAACATGAGTCAAAATATTTTGAAAATATAGTTGTATATAGAAACTTATATAATTAATATTCAATGAAAATGTCATGTATCAATGGTAGGAACGTATCTTAGAGTTACACCAAAAACCAAAACCATTTTTTTCAAAAACCGATCTTGCTTAAAAATTCCCATTTTTTCTTATTTTTTTTTTTTGTTTCCTCATGCGAAAAGATACTGAAGTTGAAAATTGAGTATTATTTCAAATAATTATCGTGTACTTAGACTCAAAATCTAAAATAAGGAAATAAGGCAATTTTCACTCTTATACTGATTAAAACAAGATTATTAGGTTTTTTCGTAATTTTAAAACGATAATTGTAGGGATATGAATTTTACTCTAAAAAATATTATACTACCATTTTCTTGACAAAAATAAGATTTTGCAAATTAATTACATCAAGATCCATAGGAATTTACTATTTAGTTCTTACAATTATTTAAAAATATTAAAATACTCATTCGTTAATTTGTTTAAAAATAGAAGTTTCAAGTTAAAGGTTTCAAACTTAAAACTTTTTGTTCATTCACCACTATTCAGAACGCCGTGAAATATAAATATTAAATATTTACCTACATAATGACTTATCAACTTAATTATGTAGTTAATATTTTATTGTTATCATTGATGTTACGAACCGAAAATTAAACAGGCTTATAGG